CGATTCCGATTCATCATATATCTTAAACCCATCCCCTTCATGTGGCGATTCCGGTTCAACATGCATCCTCAGCATGCCCCCTCATTTGGCGACTCTGGTTCAGCATATATCTTACACACGTCCCCTCATCTGGCGACACCGGTTCATCACATCATTGGGTAGAAGGCAAAATTATGGTCCCTTTTTGGGGTATCCTAAATAATAGGTGCCGTATTATAATAAGGACCCAAAAAGGGACCATAATTTTGACAACCACCCATATATCTTAAACACACCCGCTCATGTTGCGATTCCTGTTCATCATAGATCTGAACCATGCCCCTCGTTTGACGGTTCCGGTTCATCATATATCTGAACCACGCCTCCTTCATTTGACGATTGCGGTTTACCTGGACCATAAAATATGGATAAACATGCCCCCTGATTTGGCGATTCCGGATCATATACGTTAAGCATGCCCCCTCATGTGGCGATTCCGGTTCATCATGTATCTTGACCACGCCCCCTCATGTGGCGATTCCGGCTCAGCATGCACCTTAAACACGTCCCCTCATTTGCCAACTAGGAATCTGAATTATCTGAGAAATAGTTGTTTTTTTTCTGTTTTTGTGTGCGCGTCTGTCGCGGGCCATGGGTTTTTGTGCCAAGGGCGGCCAATCCTTGCCTGAAAGGTGCGGCCAAGCCCCGGTCCTCTGGTTCCGGTCCCGTGGTCTCCGGGCCCTGCGCTCCCCTGATCCTCTGTTTGCTTGATTCTCTCGTCCTGCTTATGATGAACCAGAATTGCAAATTGGTTTCAGTTGTTCGTGTTGTTTCTTGTATTCTAACTTTCAATTGGTTTTGGCCAAATGAGGGTGTGTGTGTGTGCTTAAAATGTATGATGAACCGGAATCGCCAAATGAGGGGGCGTGTTTAAGACATATGTTGAACCGGAATCGCCAAATGAGAGGGCTGCTTAAGATATATCATGAACTGGAATCGCCAGATGAGAATGCGTGCTGAGGATGTATGTTGAACCGGAGTCGCTAAATGAGGGCACGGAGGTCGTCAAATAGTGGGCATCCTTTTCCCGTGCTTTCAATGAATGGCATGCTGGATTTCGTGGCACGCTTCCTTGTTGGAGGGCAGCGACAAGTAGTGTGGCCTGGCAGTATGTTTACTAAATTTACTTACGGTTTGGTTTATGCGTCCTTGCGTGCCTCCGAAAAGAGCGTGGTGCACCGGCCAGATCTGCGGGAGTTTAGGCAGCTCCGTGTACGTCCATGCAGCAATGCTCAGTCCACGGCGTCTGCTGCTGTTTTGGTTCTGGCGATGGCAGCAGGCGGGAGCTCGTATGTCCTACCGAGTTGAGTGTCGAGCACTTTCTATAGTGTGGTGGTTGTTCTGCTTGTTCTCCAGAAAAAATCTATGGCCCAGTTCAGCGATTTACGTTCACCAGGGGTAGCGTTTCGGTCTGTATAGGTGTTGTTGCTAGCGGGCTGATGCGGGCTGCTTGCTGTGCCTCGGCGGCTGAGTGTCGGACCTGTCCGGCAAAGGAGTGGGTACGAGTGTGTGCATTGAGCACCAGGCTCATGCACCAATTAGCCCAGGTGTCGCGACAGGGCAAAGCGACCCTGATGCAAACGGACGTGGACTCAGTCTCTCTCTTGAAATTTCCTCTTGCCAACCGCATGGTTTGTCGACAGGTCACCCTGTCCTCCCCTCACTCACCAAGTCGCTGAAACAGTCAACACATATATGCTAAGAATGTTCGTGGTTGTAACCCGATCAAGGTTGTTGTGCCCGATTGTGCTTCAGTGATCCAGGACTGGTGCAGCACGAGTGGCGTTGCATTTGTTTGTGTGATCACTCTATGCCTAGCTGACTAGGCTGGTAGCGGATCGCTTGTGCCACCACGACGCCGAGAGAGAGCTTCCCGGTTGCTGGAGCCATGGGTCGAGTAGCCCGAACATGTGTAGGCAGTCGCAAACAGATAACTGCGCACGAATCCGGGAATACAAACATCGAGATGCAGGACGACAAGACTTAGCAAGTGAACGTTCGAGATTTCACAGGACCACAGAGAGAGCAACACGGGAGCAAAACGCACCATAACAGGGGCCCAGCCACATATCCGACAGAATACAGACCAGAATTTGGAAGCGGGGTTGCCCTTACGCATGAGAACATCTGGGCTTGTCCCATATGACTGAGCCAGGCCCCTATGACTCCTCCGACCCGACTCCACATTAAACGCAGCACGTCACAGGAACACGCGACCATCCCGCAAGCCGTGCAAACGATTGTCGAGGATGGTTTTCTGATGCGCTCGGCCCTCAGACCTTACGCACCTCCGTCAGGCCCTCAGAGCGAGTCTTGCGCGTGCCGGCGGCTTCCATCGCCAGAGGGCCATCCAAGCCGCCGAAGAGGATCATCAGGTTTACGAGGCCGAGCCTGCCGGCTGTGCTCCACACGACCAGCGTGATGGATCAAACGATTGCCGGGATCAGGCTGCACCGCCGTAACGGAAGGGCGTGCGAGTTTAAGTGTCTTTGTGCAGAACCTACGCGGTCCACGTTACGCCAATTCAACTCAGACTCCACGTGCGCATATCGCAGATATGTTAGGCACAGGCTGTCTAAAGAAGTGTGCTGGCCTTGCTGCTACTGTACTGTGAGACCGATTCAACAGATGACCTTACCTAAATTGTGTGCCAAGTTGCTCTTGAAGCTGCGGATCGGCATTTGAGATGGTCAAGTTTGTGAGAGGCGCAGCATCTGGATGTTTGCTCACCGCTTGCTCTTGTCCCTGACTCGAGCTGAGATGTGGCTGTCGGACTGGCTGGGCGCCTGGATGTGATCCGAGTCCGTGAGATCTAGGGAGTGTAATCGGCCAGTTCCCGGTCTCGGCGGGTGCATCCTGGAAGGACGGCGAGCTCCGTGGGCCGGTCCACACGTCGCAGAACAGTCCAGTTTGGTGCTCACGAGCCCTTTGCGCAGCTGCCGCATCGTTCTCAGACCTAAGACTGCAAATCGCGTTTATGCCAATCCGATATGTCGGAAGCATGAAACCTGCCCAGAACAGGACTTGTGGAAAGGGGTTCGGTCACATGGCTCAGAACATCTGTAGGGCAGCGGCATCTTATTCATAGCTTGGGTGATCCCAGATGCATGCTGGACGGCCTGGTCAAGCATGAAGCTGCGGAAAGTTCATCACGGCAGGGGCTGCATGATCTCGCTCAGAGCTTGTGCTGGTGTCGAGTTGCTGCCAATCACCACCGCACAACACGGCTCAACAAAGTAAGCCGCGGGCTGCCTTCCGATCCAGTGAGCAAGGCCGAGGACGACCAGTGGGTCTCAGCATGGGACAGCAAAGATTCAAAAGCTCTGGAGACCCCACAAGGTTACAAGCTGCGAAGGCCCTCACGGCCCAGCGGGGCGTTTCGGCTGTTCCAGCAACACTTGCCAAGATGGTGGTTCTTGCACCTGCGCTCTGTCCTAGTACTAGCCGGATTGGGAGCATCTTTGGGGAGACTTGCATTCAATCAAGCAGCTGCATGATCGCATGTATCGGTATGGCCACATACAATATTGACTTGTAGCTATGCCTTGAGGTGCATGTAGCTTTGTGCTTACACTCGACCGTTGCGCTCACGGGGCCGCAGAGTCTTGAGGCCTGCCAGTGTGACTTTGCCACTACGTGCCATTGTCACGAACGTCGAAAGAGCCTGTGAGGGATCGGGAGCTAAGGGAAGCGTAGACGTCGGCACGGCCTCAACTTTAGGGGAAGGCATCATTTTACCGAGCCTGATTCAAAGTGCCAGCACATGCGCTTGCCCTGACTGCTGGCTGCAGTGCTCCTTAAAGGTTTGCCAATCCCCCAAAAATGATTGGGTGTTGCGGCGGCGCAAAAGTTTGCAAATCCAGATGGTGCATGGGCTGATGATTAAACATAGCATGCATGGCATCATGCGATGCCAGAAAAATAGCCGTTATCATGTGCGTTGCCGCCTTCGTGACAATCGTCTCTGCGATCTCTGAGTCCTCTTGGAATAACCTGCCGGGTGCTAAACTTGGGCATCAAAACACACGGTCAAAAGCTCCACTTTGACAAGAAGAGCCCTCAAGTTCGGTGCACAGCTCTTGACAATGCAATGCTACTTCGCTACCGTGTCTCATGAAAACACCATCTATGTTGGTGCTCGCCCGTTTTCAGGCAGAGGAGTTCGGGACGCTCTTAGTCTTTGGCTGGGTGAAGTTGTGAGGACCCAGCAGCCTTCGAAACAAGATGAAACAAGCAGACCGCGGTCAACACCAGATTGGCTTCGGGGTCCTGTCCAGATGAACCAACAAGACGGAACTCCAAGGCAAGCATCCTTCTCCCGCTCAATCTTTGGTATCCTTCAAAGGCAGGCTCTCAAATTGCTCCGCATCTAGGGCAGCTGGAACCAATAATCGAGCCAGGGTCAAGAAACAGCACGATATGCAAGCGGCAATCACAACCAACACAAGTATCAGTAATGGTGCCAACACCTTGCCACGCGCCGGCGGTTTTTGAAGCAGATACACCAGCAAAAGCCAAAAGGTCGGTAGGAGGGTAAGGGCTCCAAGCGCCAAACACAACCGACCTCGACAGCAGTAGTTGCAGTTGCAGTCTCTAGGAAACGTTGGACGGTCGAAGGCTTCCCTGAAGCACAAACAACTCATTGCGGCCAGCAGCCACAGAAGCATACCTATCTGGCTGGCACGAAATAGTGCCAGCTTGTAGCCCATCCTCCCCAAGAACTCGCATCTTGTCTCCTTGCACTCCTGCTCTGCACGCCTCTCCTCGTCACGTAACTCGAAGCATTTGAGCCTTCTCATGCATGCAGTGTAAACATCGAAGGCGACATTCTGAGCTGGCAGTGGGCATCGAAGGCTGCAGTTGTTGCTGGTGCCGATGCATTCAAGCTGACCAGTGATGTTCGATTCGAAGCAATGGAATTGCTCGCACTCGTTGCGGCAAACAAGGTCCAGCTGCTGGAGGGTCAGCGTCACTCCTAGAAGCGCAACAGTAACTATCGTCAGAGATGCGCAAGCGATGAATCCAAAACTACGATGATCTCGTGCAGATCCTGCACAGTCTGCGCACCCGAACTCTTGGCCGACGCTTCCGACTCGTGCGCTGGACATGGCGCCAATAACGACAAGAACGCCAGCCACCAAGGGGTGGAAGAACGTCACTGAGCCGTGATTGCTGCAGGGTTCTTGGTACGATGCGTGCTGGTGATCTGTCCATGCTCCCCGCAACTTCAAACTCACCAAACACGATCGTCGATCGCGCTCGATCGTCAGTGGCCTCGCAAGACCCCTTGAAATCTACCGAACGAGACGGATGGCAGGCTTTCCGAACATTCCACATTGACATGACATCTGTACGCCTTCTTGAAGTAACAGAAGGTCGTATGCGAGGCTCCTGGTACAGAATCGTGGGCTGCAACATGTTCTACCTGCAAAGCTGTGATTCCAGTGATGCCAGTCATTGGCTGACAGGCATGGCAATAATATCATGATATATCATGATGAAATTCAACCTGTTCAGCAACGTGTGCCATTTGCGCACCTGTGCTAACTACTTCTAACTACTACTGACCGACACCCAGAAGCAGCCCAATGCCCGCAGCAAGCCACCTGCGGTGGACAGGGTGCCCGCACCGCTGCGCACTGACCTGATCCTGAGAATGTAAGCAGCTCGCTAGATTCTACAAACTGTGGTGGCCGCGTCACATCGGAACAAAGAACAGACTGTCCTCAGCCTTGGAGCTGAACCACAAACAAACAAAAAGGCTGTCTGTTTGGACCAAGGTGCTCTGGCCTCGCAACCTTGGACAGGCGAGTAGCTTCCACAGAGCTCTGCAATTGCAAGGTCACGAGGCCTCTGCCCGAGCTCTGGCTTTGCGAGCCCGTGCTTCTTTCCCTGGCCTCGGGGTCTTTCATGAGAAAATAGCATCGAAGAGCCCATCGCAAATAGAAGGAACCACAACTAGGCTAGCATCAAGATTCAAGATGTGTGACGCATGCACAAGTCATTGCCGAGTGTCTGATGGCATCTAGCACTCGCTCCAGGTGGCGATGCATCTCAAGACTCATCCTCAGAGGGCAGCCACGCTATGGGGAAACCTCAAAACGTCTCACCTCCTCCCCGGCCCACAGCAAAACCTGGCCCAAGTATCTGGAGCACGTCATTGTACGGAAAGAGAGGCTTTGGCAGCGCTAACATAAGATTATAAAACCCTTTCCTGCCACTTGCCCACTCGCCCCATGGGTCTTGCATCTTTAATTTTGATCCCCCGCATGCGCTGCTAGGACGAACCCGGCCCTTAAGGCAGGGACAAAGTCTACCATCTTACGGTACGGATCAGCCAGGCCGAGGAAATGCTCTATCACTGCTGTCACTGCCCGTGGACAGACAGCAATGTCCAGGTTGAGATTCACTGCGAAGGATGAAGCTTCTGTTCTTTTCGGCAACACACGGGAAAGCAGGACGATACCTTCAGTGTCTCCAACCCAGACGGCACACCCACCAGGCCAGGCTGCATAACAGTTTTTAGCACTCGTGCTCACATACACATGCAGGCTGCCTGATTTAGTTTTCGACTTGGCCTGAGGCAGCCGGCACATGGGACATGAGCCTTAACAGTCGGGTAGCGGCTGACACTTCTTTTCGGGCCCGTGCCTGTTGGAAGGATGTTGGTTCGCCCCACCAAAACACACACGAAACGGCAACGTGCTGCTTGCCCGGACCATCCTCAAACTCTCCGTCTATCGGTTTCCTTTTTGGGCTCTTTCCTCCATGTCGCAGTCAATTCTCCTTTTGGCGCTCACACTCGGACAATCCAGGTGGTGTTGGGCCCAATTGCACCAACGTGCAAATGAAGCAGACTCCATGACTATTCTCCAAGCCAAGTGGGACAAGTGGGTCAACACCACCGAGCGCCACCCAGTGGTAATCACAATGGACTGCAGGTTTTGGAAATATGAATGACCACAAAGAGCCGTTCTGGGACACGAGCCGGTATTGATGAGCTTGGCACACCTGTCGTCATAGCCAAGAGGTGACTGCGAACATGTGTAATTGTATCACGTGTCGCAATCATGCCCCGGCATTCTTAGGTTGTCATTGTTAAACAGCACCATGGGTGACTATTGACGTAAGTAACGTCCCAAAATCTGAAGCACAACTGTATCCTTCCTCTTCCTTGGGCAGGCATGGTCACACTGGCACGTGTCGTTATGGCGAGGATATGCGGGGATGGCGGATTGACAATGACAACCTCGTCGTGAAGTGCTGTTTTGCGGGCAAGAGTACGATGAGTACATATGAGTACGTGCTGCTCGATCGTGCGGCCCAATGGAAAATGCCACCACGGGTTTGCACCTCCATGGCTGCTAGAAGACCGCCGTCGCCACGCGGCGAGCCTCCAAGTATGCAATAGGTTTCGCTAATGAGCTTTTCGATGACCTCCAAGGCTTGATGCATTGAGAACCCCCGAATGTGTCGGCCTGGCATTACACTGCTACTCAATGCGCATGCAGCATATCGACCAGGAGTCGGGTCAGCACCTGTATACAATATACAAGCTGCTACCCTTCGAAGCAGTTGAACTGTGGAGAGAGGTCCATGCAGCTTGCCTCCATCCTGACTCGAGCCTGCCACGCCTGCGTCTTGCAGGTCAAGTTCACAGGCTTCTATAGTTGTGCTACGACACAAGAGCTCGATGTCTGACAAGCTCCTTGTTTGTGGCTCCCTCATTACATTCCTTGCGACCAGTAGGAAGTTTCAACTTTGAAGCCATCCTCCCCCTCATCTGCCCGGGAGCGAGAAGCCCCCCAAAATTCTGCCAAGTTTGTCTGGCTTGCACTGTACCGTAGGGTGCAGCCTGCTCATGCAGCTCCAGCTTGGAGCTCACACAAAGCAATCCAGCCCGGAGTCTTGGGCGGTCGCAAGCAACACTTCGTGCAACGCAGGCTCAGGACAGGGCTGGCGCATTCGCCGCGGCCCCATGCCGAGAGAACCTGCGCAGAGGAGAGCAACGAAGCAGCCAGAATACCTGCGCTGGCATGTACGGGTAAGTAAGCACGTGAGTATGTCATTCTGAATTCTTGCATGGAAGGGACGGAAAGGCAAGAACTCCAGCATTTTCTAGCTGGCTCAAGAGCTCACCGCGAGCTCGCTTCAAAGGCTACGGAGATCTGCTCCAATTCTCCCGTGTCCGACAAGCTTTTCTGACTGTGCACCATTTCTCATTCTCTCACTGCCGCCAACTAACGTGCAGCCTGCAGAGCCGCTTAGGCCTCAGCCATTCCCCGTGACTGATTGCAGTCATGCGTTCGGCAAGTCCCCGAACTCTCTGGAAGGTTGTGTTCCACCGTGTCTGGTCCACTCAGAATCTACTCCAAGTCTTGATGGGACTTGCCGCAACAAGCTGCAGAAGTTGCAGGGTCGGTGATGAAGTTAAAGGTGCCCGCCAGTACAACCGAGCACACATTCGCAAAAAGAGAGTCTGTGCGTGACGAGGGACAAAACAAGAACAACATGCCTTGTCGGCTGGATGCGTGTCGAGCTCCTGGCGGCACCACCTGATACTTGCAAGTCTCTCAGTTAGAACGGAAACAGCAAGAAATGCTGCACTTGTTGGGGGTCGATTGTACGTGGATCGTCTACCGACGGTTGCAACCGAACAAGCCCTACCTGAAGCAGGTTTTGGGTTGACGACCTTCTGGGCTTGCAGCCCATGGGTGTGCGCACAGGCTTCATCCAAACGCACTTGGAAACGATTTGCTTGGAGGATTCCGACGGAGATGCTCATGCACCCCAGGTCGACTGCTGCAGACCACACTTCCCCCTTTCCTGTCTACGAGACTTCGCAGGCCTGGCGATGTCGAAACTGTCTCCCATCTGGGAGCTCCTTTGCTCAGGGACGAGCAGGCTGCGAGCATGCGCCCACTAAGCTACAAAAGGCCTGAGCGTCGTTTCCATGCGGCCGACGGCAGGTGGCAATGGCCATGCTGACATCTAAGCATATGATTCGGATTACAGATGTGATGGCTGTGATATGCAGTGATGGCTATTGCTTAAGAGCTCCTGTTTGTGTTTTGGAAGTCTAAGCTGGGCTTCGGGATGCATGCAGCTGACTGGTTTGCCTGCCTGCTGCTGCGGGGAAAACAGCAAGTCAACTGACGGCGGCAATTGGCAGAGCCAACATCTTTTTCAAGTTTTAGAGATTTGCTATTGGACTTTTACCCTCCTGCCCGGAAGGCACTTTCAAGAGAGTCTTTGGTCCATGGTCTTAGGCAACTCATGTTGCCTGCAGCCCAACGTGCTGAAAGCCATCGTGCAATTCGTCAACACAGAAAGCGGAGAGTCAGCAAGACAAAAAATGATTGCATTCTCCAGCACCACAGACTACCATAAACTGTCGACCAAGATGTTCGCCTGCCAACCGAATCTGCATCTTATGTCAATGTGACATCCTGGGCCATCTTGGGCCTATGCGGGACATCCTGGATTCTTGCTTCGCAACAGTCTCCTTAGGAGTGAAGCAAAATCGAATAAGGCTCCAAGTGCATTGGGCAGCCTGACCTTCTGCGAGGCCAGTACCGACCAATCGCAGCTTGCTAAGCAAGCGCAATAAAGCAGGAGCCTGGTGGTAGGCAGCTTGGCTGCCGCTGGCTCCTGGTGGGCTGAATGCAAACAGCCAGAATCGGGCTCTGGTTCTGTTCGAACGCCCGGACTTCCGAATCTCAGCAACAGGTTTGCTGGAGTACAGAGTGCATGGCGTGCCCTCAAGACATTGAGCGCATGCTGTGCCGTTTGAGCTCCACGATGCACAACCACACTACGACTGGCTGCACTAGCTCACTAGCTATCCTGCGACAGAATTTGGCTTGGCGCGAACGGAGTGAAGTCTCCCAGGCAAGAAAACACCAGGCAGGATGACATGTACCGGCCACACCTGGCCAAAGCCACCGTGCCAGTGCTTTATTAAGCTGCGGCATGCTTTCTCAAGGAAGGGGGAGTCGCACTCTGGAGCTCAGGAAGCAACCTCCACTCCCGATCCAAGAAGCCTCATGAAGGACAGCCGAGCGAAACTAAGACGAGCGCTCTCCCAATCTGTTCCCTCGCAGGACTCTCCCTCACCTCTACCGTCGCCACCCTCCAAGTCTCAGGCTCTTGCTTTCTCAAACCTACTTTGGTCGTTCAAACGCGCAAAGACACCTTTTCTTCACCACTTCTGAAGGCTTTAAGTGGGCATGCCCTCGATGATGCATTACGGCTCTCAGGCGTCCCAGAATGCTAATGAGTTGCACGCCTCTCCCCCAAACTTTCGAGCTTGGCGCCGTCGTTTTGATTCCCCGGTCGACGGAGGAAACTGACTTTTTTGCCTGCATCGCGCTCGGGCCTAGGCACTGAAGCCGCCTCGTCGCACGACAACTACCGCACTATGCATGTCCGTCGATCCCGTCAGCATGAAACTTAAGGCCAGAGGGAGTAGCCCTCAGTATTGCAGTCCGGCTTGCACATATGGCACCATGGCCCCGCCTATTTGAGTCTTTCTTTCGCCAGGGCTGTGGTGGGGAGTTGCCCCCCCCCACCGCGTGCATGTGCGGCCTCGCCTGTTGCGGGTGCCAATAGTTTGGTAAAAACATGCACAACATATAACTGTTGTAGTGTGTCATGCTCGACTTTCTATGTGTGGGTTGTGTTCCTGAGGGAGGCTTTAGTCCTTTTTGCGCGATCCCTATTTGAGTCTCTCTCTCTCTCTCTTTCTCGGTTTGGGTCCTGGGTGGCTCCAAAACTTGCCTGTGCATGACAATGAGGTCAGTGGAGGATGGAGAAATCGCAGACTACGCCTGCAATGTTTGAAAGTTGTTGTTATATGAGCCCAAGATAGTCCAAGGAACGACTATCCCAAGGCACAGGGCTTCTCATTTTCTCAATCTTCTGCAGCTCGCGATAGAAGCCGTCCTGCCAAGTTGTGCTGACACTCCTAATTAACCAGAACTCGAACTGTCGCATTTACAGGCTTTCCGCGCAGTGTTCTATCTTGCTCGGACACAAAAGGGCGGTGGCAAAATGACAGAATTCAGGCGATGCGCCTGGAAGGGGCAGACCCTTTCTCATCCTGGAAAAACTTCAACGAGAAATCGTCGTCCCTACTTAATTTGGATGGTCTTGGCATTGACTATTCAGTGGTGTCCATCAGAATGTGCTGCTGCGGTTGGCATTTGGAAGCGGACTTGGCAGCTGAGGGAAATACAAGGACTTTGAAAAACAGTCAAACACGCTGCAAATCCTGAACTGGAAGCGAGTGGACGTGGTGCTCTGGTTGAGATTGTTGCCAATCACTGCGACATGTGGCCTCTGGATCGCAAGCCTTGTCTGGCTTGAAATAGTTGCTGACAACGTGTCTCAGCATCAACTTATTCTGGCGATACTCTTGTGCCTCTGGGGATTCAGGTGTGTGTGTGTGTGTGGATTGTTGATCAATTAGTTCAGTTCGACCCGTGTTGAAACAGGTGTAACGCCTGTTTGCGCTAGCAACCGACCAATCGATCAGAATAAGTTTGGGCAAGAGCTTGTATATGAGGACCCAAAAGATGGTGAACTAATTATGCCTGCGCAGCTTCAAGTCAGGGAAACTCCGATTCAGGCTTGTAGCGGCACTGATGAGCGCATGCACCCCCGCGCAAGCACCGGAACCCGAAGCCACTACAGACAGAAGGCTGGTTGACGCCTCCATTTCCTTTCCTTACACGTAGGGCCCCCGATGTCCGTCTTGCCGTGGACCAGTTTCGCGAACGGACTTCAAGCTGTCGCTTCCCTTTGCCACTCGGCTCGCATTCAGTGGGTCAACATGTCAAGCACCAGCGAGCATTGACAGCTGTCTAAACCAGCAATCCCATATCTGGCGAAGATTGAGAATGAAGAATTGACTGCAGAATCGCACTTGCTTGCTTCTGAGTGAGGGCCGTGGAACCGAATCAATAATACCTTTCAATACCGTAATTAATGCATGAGTGGCTCAAGAAGTGTCGAGACCAGTATTTATGTTTTTTCGTGCTGCTCACTTGCAGCGGTTGCAGCCGCTCCTGATGTTGTTGCCGTTGATGCTGTTACCATTGCTGTTGCTGCGATGTCCGTCGTTGTTGTTCCATTTCCCGTCGCTGTGCAGCAGGAAGCCTGAACCCAAGAGTCTTCAACCAGAAATCATGAAGTTGAGATAGTACAGCTCCCGCAGGGCTTGCGCCTTTTTGCGTGAGGGGCTTGTAAGGTATGGGCTCTTGGATTGACCTCTACTATCGCTATCGCTATCACTGGGCCTGTGTAATAAGGATGCACACATCGGAGTCCTACCACAGCCTGCAGCATCTCCGAAGCAAACAGTAGATTGCACGAGGCGCTATGCTGATTGCCACGTTTAGCCGTTTTAGCCGTGCCCAAGCAATGTTCATGGCAATGGTGTTGTAGTTCAACCAACCAAGAGATACAAGACATCATGAAACCATCATCGAATCACAAGGGTAGAATCTTAGAAGCCAAGGAAGGTTTCTGTTTCAAAGCCAGCTTTCGAGCAAGACTTTACGTCCTTGTCGGCTTGCATGCGCTCCATCCATGGGCTTCCCGGAAGCGAAGCTTCGAAAGCCTGGCCGGGAAACCGGCGGAATGCGCATGGGTCAATTCAGCATCCAACTCGCAGCAGATTGCGAATGAGCAGCGGCTTTGTTGACATCCGATGCAAAGCCGCGAGCCACATAGTATGCCGCCGTGTCCAGCATCTCAGCTATGTCAGTTCCCTCAAAGCTCCATCTCGGAGATCAATATCGCTAACCATCATCACACTAGATGAAGCAGTAGCATTCCTCGTATGACACCACATCTGCCTCCACCCGGCTGCTATACATCAGCCTCAACGATTCTCAAGCGCAGCGGGGCAGTAGAAGTAAAGCCAGCCAAACCAACTCGTATCCAAAGCTGGTCTTTCGTGGTGGTGCTGATAGTAGCACTGGCAATAGTCTAGTAGTCGCAGAAGAAGAAGAAGTAGTAGTAGTAGTAGTAGTAGTAGGAGTAGTAGAGTAGTA